CCCTCACCCAGTCAAGAAAGCAGTGAACCAACCCCTTTTAACATGTGGAACAACTACAAAGATGTCTTGAACAACTGTACAGAAGTTAATCAAGAAAATGTTTAAGCCAGGCTGGCTGGTTAGATCACTTGGGAGAGCATGGTGCTGATAACAACAGGGTCACAGGTTTGGATTCCTGTACCGGTCAGCTGCCAGAAAAAATAAAATAATCCCAAAACAGTCTACTCAGTGGACATACCTACAGCCCCCAAAATGCAGTGGTTAAAGATGGCAAGATGGGGCGGGTCCCGTGGCTCACTCGGGAGAGCACGGCGCTGGTAACGCCGAGGCCGTGGGTTCGGATCCTATATAGGGATGGCCGGTGTGCTCATTGGCTGAGCGTGGTGCTGACCACACTGAGCTGAGGGTTGTGATCCCCTTACCGGTCAAAAAAAAAAAAAGATGGCAAGTCGCATAATTTTAGAAATAACCACAATAGTCACGAAGCTTAAGAGGATGTCAATGTCTTAGCAACCAGCTAGCAAACAGCACTAGTCATGAGGTCATATGTCAAGCAAATGCAGCAACATGGGGTTGTAATAAACAGTAACAGAGGAAATGCATATAAAGGTTGTAAAACAAGGCTTTTTAGCTGTTTTCTTTACTTGAAAATATATTAACATCAATTTTAAAGGTAAGTTTTATGTTCATAACAGGCAATAGTACATGTTACTGTATGGTTATAGTAAAAACAATTTAAATCAGTAATTTACACATGAGTGCCATTTTTAAGCTAAGAAATAATTCTTTTTCACTGTAAAGCCTTACAAATTCATGACTTGGCTAAGTTTGCTTAGTAGTAATTCATCTGACATTTACTGAACACGTACCATGCACTAGGAGCATGCTAAGCATTTCATATGTATTGTTTTACCTAGACCTTAGAACAGTACTATGAGGTAGGTACTATTTTATTATCCCTATTTTACAGATGGGAAAGCTGAGGCCAAGAGAGTAAGTAACTTGCAGAAATCCATAGGTGACAGGAGGTTGAGCCAGGATAAAAACACATTCCAGAGCCCATGCACCTATTACAGTACTTAGGAAAGGTATTGGTTATAGGGAAAGCAAAACAGTGTGGGGGAACATCATCAGGTTAGATAACTGAGGATAAAGTGGGGAAAAGGTACAGGGAGAGACAAATACTTGCCTAGGGCTGGATTTCCAGGCCAGAAGCAGTTACCAAGGAGAAGGGAGTCTGAGCCACAGAAATTAGTAAATAGGGGGAGAAAAAAGATTTTTTTAAGGGAAGAATAGCAACTGACATTTGTTCAATGGATGACTGGAGAATTTGGAAATGGCAAAACGAGTTTATGAATGGGAAGGGGTGAGATTGTGTTGTGAGAAATAACCCTGAAAGACTAAGAGAAGGCAGATTCCTCAGCAAGTAGATGGACATGTGAAACTGGTGAGGTCTGGGGTGGCTGTTCCTCTACTGTTTTCATTGTCTATACCTGCCCTCAACATTTCATCAGACACTCTCTTCTTCCTCTGGAGGCTAGCACTTGGTTATACTATTGAGGTTTATATAGTCTGAAAGAACTTTTTCTTGGTCAATAGGAATTGTCTAACCCTGAAAAATACTCTTCATGAATCATCTTTTTTCACAGGTGAGCACTTAATAGGTATTTTTAAGTGTAGGTTCCATGATCTACCTAAGAGATAAGTGCATGCATTATTAAAACTCTTAAGTAGGTCATCAGAGCTCATTCTTTACAGATCTGTGTGTATATACTTATAGTAAATCTGACCAAGAATATTTTTATACTTTCATGAGAAGTATTATATTTTCATATTGTCACAAGCTTATATTTTCCCCCAAAGCATAAGCTCTGAAGCAATCAAGAACTGTAGAGCACTTTTCAAACTCAAATCTGCATAATTTAATGATCAACCTAAAGTGTTCTTTGTCTCTTTCCTGCCCATCATTCTATTCCATTATCTGTTCTGATTTTCTCAGTCCTGAGAAAATAATCTTGTATTATGTGAAATCTGTGCTAATACTTAACAGAGTTTGTGTAGAAACATCAAAGGTGTTTGTTTTGTTTTGTTTTGTTTTTGGTGACTAGCTGGTGTGGGGATCCGAACCCTTGACCTTAGTGTTATCATCGCCACACTCTAACAAACTGAGCCAACCAGCCAGGCAATTTCTGTTTTTGTTTTGAATGTATACATCATCAAACTATGTTTGATTGCTTTACAGAGCAAAAGGTCAAACTATAAAGAAAAGGGCTACACTCAATGATTATGAAATTTTAGAATATATAGGACTTCCTCCAGGAAACTGGTTACCAAAATTCTAGCTAATTTTATAAGGATTTTTAAAAGAAGTATTTTCTAAAGATACATGTAAGATTAAGTTGTGGAAGTGCTATTTCAAGTGGTTTTTTCTAAGGATTCTATATTTTGTTGTTGAAAACGACAATATTTTTAAAGTGGACCTCCATAATTGGGCTAGGATGTGGAACTTTATTAAAGAGTGTTGAGTTATCCCTGTTTGCCATTTATGCTTTGCCCTTTCTGATTGAAAAGAAATGGTTCAGGCACTCCTTATATCCCCAGGAGATGCTTTTGGCCTTTTACTGTTTGAGTCTACCTTGGAGTTGTGCATACTGTATGAAACCTTGTTTGAAACAAAGGTTCCTAAAGAACCTTTTCCTGCATGGAATGCCAATTAACTGCTTGCTTTTAACCAATAATTGGGCATTAACTCCTCAGTACTGCCATATCATAAGCCACAGTTCAGGCCCTATTGTCCACTATTGAACGATTTGACAGTTATACAGTATTTGACCAGACTATGAACAGTCTAATTTGAGAGAGAGTAGCACCTACCTGTACCTTAATGGAAAGAATGACCAGACCTTTGGCAATATGACTGCTAAAAGAACACAATAACCAGCTCAACTTATGCTCAGAATGTGTTCCCAGCAGAAAAAAGATATATACTTGATAGAAACAGAAAAATATAATAAAATAGAATTTTCTGTTGGCAGGGCACTTATATTTATACATTCTTCTGTGTTTAGCTCAGTGGTTAGAGAACACTTCTGGAAAGACTGCAGTACACAAATGTTTTCAATTTGAGCTTGTACATTTAATTGGTCCCTGAGACAAGGTTCACTGCCTTGGAGGTGGCTTGGCTCATTCCTAAAACACACACTAATGAATTTCAGGTTTGGGATAGACAAGAGGGCTGCTCCATATCACACAATTGTGAACTTGGACTTGTTTCCCATGAATGTCTTAAATAGCTATATAATGTCATTCTGGGTAGTGGGTTCTTTTCCTGTCTCCAAACGCAGTACTGATTGCCCTTGTTCAGGGTACTCAGTTCTTTCCTACATTTAAAACTTAAGTTTGGCAACTTCCTTCATTTTTGTAAAGGGAATTTTGTGGGAGAAAATAGGGCAAAGATCATCTGCGTGCAATTAGATGTATTGAAGGACACTTCAAAATAACCTTTACATAACTTGTGAAGATTGGTTTGGGCTAAGTATGTTTGTTTTGTTTCTCCTCTCAGCTATTTGAGGAGAAAAATTCAAACAAAAGTCATCTTTCATACCTTTTTATGCTGATAGATCTAGCAATAGTTTAGGGATTTAATCTCATCTGCTCCACCTAGCACTCCATCTGAAAAGTCATGGAAGTGGAGTAGCTGAATATGAAAACTTGTTTTATGTAGATGAGAAAGAAGCTAGCTAATGAAGTTACAGACACTCCCTTAATCAGGACTACAGTGCTGAGCTATGTGTCAGCCCCACCCCTCCCCGTACACGTTTGGCGGTGTTTACAAAGACTTGATTCTGACTAGCTTAGAAGACAGATGTAGTTACTCAGCTTTGCAGATGTCTTGCTGATACGCTCAGAGTGAGTCACAATTTGTGTTGGGCCAGTAGTGGAAAAAAAGAGTGTTGATTTTATGAATTCTTTCATCTGTGGAAGATCGTCATCGACTGTAATTTCCTTGTGGAGTGGGAGAATTTCCATTCCTCTGTGTGATGCTGCATTTGTCCTGGTTATGCTATTTATCGACTGTGGGGCTGTGCACAGGCTGTGCAAGCCTCCCATTTGGGCCTCAGTTTCCTCCTTTCTAATTTAAGAAAGGTGGGCCAGTGCCCTCCTACGTCCCTTTCTAGCTTTCACAGCCTGAAGTTCAGTTTCTTCTGAACATATGAGGTTGGTGTATCAGTTGCATTGGTCAACTACAGACTACTTGGGTTGTCCAGCTAATAAACTCTTCCAACAGAACAAATGCGAATGAACAGCAACACTTGAGTCCTGCAGAAAGTTTGTGTTGGGTTTGCTAAAATAATCAGCTGAAATCTTACATGATCATGCATTCCTAAGAGCCAGGCAGGGGCTGTCAGATGACAGTACTCCATCGGTGGATGCTTACTGGGGGTGGTGGCCTGTTTTGAGATCCTGTGTGGCAGCATGATGTGGTCCAGCATGAAGTCTGGCGTCAGAAGGTCTTGGGCTCCTCCTGGCTGTTTCTACCAACCCAAATGTCCTAGCCTCATAGGCTTTGGCAAGTTATCTCAGTTCTAAAACTTCTATTTGGTCATTTTTAAAATGAGGATAATATCTACTTTGCGGGGTGAAAAGCTTAAAAATAATGTATGTGGAAGTATCTAGCAAATAGATGGAGCTTGATTTTTTTTAAAAAGGTGATTTGAGATCCTGTGTGGCAGCATGATGTGGTCCAGCATGAAGTCTGGCGTCAGAAGGTCTTGGGCTCCTCCTGGCTGTTTCTACCAACCCAAATGTCCTAGCCTCATAGGCTTTGGCAAGTTATCTCAGTTCTAAAACTTCTATTTGGTCATTTTAAAAATGAGGATAATATCTACTTTGCGGGGTGAAAAGCTTAAAAATAATGTATGTGGAAGTATCTAGCAAATAGATGGAGCTTGATTTTTTTAAAAAAGGTGATTAAAATCAAAACAGCAATTTGTAAAAAAAAAAAAAACTCCATAAGAAATCTAAGGGGGAAAAAACTAACATTTATGAAACGAATAACATTTCATGGAGCATTTGAGGACATATTATCTTTTAATCCTTACAACCTCATTTTACAGATGCAGAGATACCGGGAAGTTCCCAGGGTCACAACACCTGGAAACAGTGGAATCTTCTGATTCTAAACTTGTGCTCCTTTTACAATAAACTACCAACACACCAATACACTTAGTTGATATATTTTATAGTTAAGGTTAAATCTATCATTCTGGGAAAGGAAATAAATGATCAAAATGGTAATAGTACCTATTTGGGGGATTTTTCCTTGTGCCCTTTTTATATGCCTATAGCTAAACTGCCATGTAAGACAAACCCAGATAACCCTGGCCAGTCACACCTCACTTTGTGAGATCTTAACTCTGAAACAGCTCCTGGGGATAGCTGGAGGATTTGAATATCTCTGGGATGTCACTGTCCAGTTTCGAAATAATTTTATAAATGGGTTTCTTCCAGGAAGGATCTGAGTCTTTTCCTGTGGTGACAGCCCTGAAGAACTCCTGTAATGTCAAGCTGGCGATTTCCAAGAAGCAATCTGGGACCTGCATTCCCAAGGAGAGCCACAAGAAAGAGATAACGTGAGGCTGGGAAGCACTGGCACCGCAGAGACTTCACTGGCTGATGCTGCTGTTCCTTGGGTAGTGGGTGAAGAGCATCCCTGCTCTACATCCCTGCCCTGATTTCTGCAGCCCTAGGGATCCCCTGTTCCCTCAGCAAACACAAACCTTAATATGACAGTTCCAATGAGACAGCCCTGGGAGAAAGTGTATTAGGGAAACTCCCTTGTGTAGGAGGAGCTGATTCCACTAATGGGTGACTTTTTAGTAAGTAGGAAACTCTCATTGAAATTAAATCTGTGGTTCAAAGAGTTTTTTGGTATTCTTTTCCTTACTACCTGTTATGGAAAAGAGTGCCCTGCAAGCTTTTGACTCTCATACCTCATCCCACCACCTTTTAGGTCTGGATCCAAAGGGCTCACATTCCTGCTTCCAAAGCCAGTTGAGGGGTCTGTTCCAGGACCCTTACCCAGACTGGCACCATAAATGATGGGGTGTCCTACAGGTCCTCCAGATTTAGCTTGGCCTGAGGCTTGCCACCACTGCATGTCAAATGACCATCCCACGAGGAAAGACGTGGCAGTGCCACCCATCCCACACTGGCCCTGACCCCTTGAGCCTCAGATAGGAGGCATGGTCCCTTTTCCCCCACAAGTTTCCAAACATATTCTCACTGAGCATCTGACCAGTGGATGCCAGCAGTTCTTACGTTTCTTGGAAGTATCAGTAAACTGCTCTTCGTGATCGTAGTCAAGTGAGAAAGGCAAGAAGAAGGAAGTGTAGTCTGTGACCAGGCACACCTGGCACCTGCCAAATCAGATGCCTCCCTAACAGAGCTGTCAGCTGTACACACAGCAACACATGTCTCTTGATTAAGAATTCACACCAGTGATACTTAGGCTCATCCTTTACTGACAGTTTACCTCTAAGGAGCCACCCAGTGTGCCTTCATAGAGATCCCCAAGGGACTGAGAAGCTTGAGTATTGTTTGTTATTTCCAGAAAGGATGTGAGGTGACTTACCATGGAAGGCTCACAAATAAAACCATTCAAGTGAGAGTACAGATAACCCAATGATTAAAAGAACAGAAATTGTTGTTTAGAACACCTAGGCCAAGACTAGGTGCAAGAACTGAACCTAGCATTTAGTCCTGAGCCTCCTGGCACTACGGCAAAAAGGTCAGAAAGTTATGTGATTTGATAATTACAGAGTACCACGTCTGAAATTACATAACACCTGGCAGACCTCTGCTTAAGTTGTAGGATGAAGACTGACTTTATATTGTTTGCTGCAGCCAACTGTTGTTGCCTACGAGAAGATGTTGAGGCTGTAATCTTTGTGGATGATATAGAATTTGGCCCAAGGCTGCCCTCATTCTTAGTGACTTAATGATAGACACAGAAGATCTTTTCTAAAGGGAAGACACACATCAGACCTCATAGGACCTCAGTACATGGTCTTACCTCAAAGTCATTTCCCTTGTTATAGTGCATATTGAGAGCTCGAAAAAGTTCTGAATCACGGAGAACCACCAACATTTTGGGATTTGTGATACCATCTGAAACTGCTTGCCGGGCAAATTTTTCCATTTGGATGTAATAAAACTCACGAAAGTTGCTGAACCACTTGATCATCTGGGAGGTAATGCAGCGGTTGAACTGTTCAAAACAATGGGTTCATCAAGTCAGACGTTTGACATACTCAGAATCAGATCTGTCAGCTTCCAGTTCAGCATAGGGGTTAACACAAATGGCCTCAACCAACATTAATGAGGACTTCTTTTTAAAAAGATTGCCACAGCTGTTTTCCAATCCTATTCAGTTATATTCAGAAAAATCTGAATTAGCTACAGTGCCCATGAGAAAGTTGATGTTTTTGATATACTAGATTTATAAGGGTTTTTCACCCATGAAAAGCTTTTCATGATATCCAAGTGTGACTTTTGGAGGGTCCAGGGCCAAGGCCAGCGTGGTGCCAGCTTCTGCTGTACCCAGGTGGATTGCATGGTAGCCCTGGAGCCTTCTGCCTCGGTGAAGGGAGAAGGGTCAGAGAGCAGTTTATTGGCAACTTGGAGTTGCAGAATGAATTGAAATTGAAGTCATTTTGCTGCAGGGATCAACCAAGCAACTGAATATGAGGAAAAGACCTGAAATACCTAAATGATATAGACCCAAGGTATTAACAGCCTCTAACCCAACACCCACGGTAAAGGAGACCCTCAGAAACGTTTCATGGGAACAGGCGAGGTCTGTTTCCAACAATCAGAGCTTGATTTTCTTTCTTGTCACACTTGATCTGTACTTTCACTCAGCTTTGAAACATAGCAATTTGAATGTGAATTTGACAGTGTCTGACTCTTTATATATTTTTTCTTTTTCATAATGTCCCCAGAAAAAAAAAAAAACAGAAAACCAGGACAAAGATGCCACTTACTAGTGCTTCTCTCTCCCCTACCTTCCCTTCCCATGTGTTTGTGGGATTATCTACAGTTTAAAAGGTTAAAAATGAAGATACCAAACCTTCCTAGCTGAAAGTTATTCATGATTTTATCCAGGCAGAGTTTCAGCCCAGAACTGGAAATTGCACCAATTCCATCAACAACACTAAGGGGAGCTTGAAGTGCATATACGATGACCTAGGACCTGCCTCACGCAGGGCAAAACACACTGCCACTTGGGAGTTTTGCAGAGGCTGAAACTCATTTGAGCTACTTTACCTGAACATCAGGGAAATAAGCCTTCAGGAGGTTGGAGCTGGGGTATCGCGTGAAGAAAAACATCAGTTTGGCCTTCTTCAAGTGACCAGGGTTTAGTCCCTCCTGGATTTATCTCAGTGTCAAGGAAAATTAATGCTTTAAAATACAAGTTTATCCAAGAATTTTATCAGGTTATCCAAATAGTGAATTGTTCTGTTCCTTGTAGTTTCTGGGTTTTTTTGGTTTTTTTTTTTTTTTTTTCCTGGTTGAATGGTATACTTACTCCATTTTTGTCCCTGGAAACTCTGGCCAGATAAGCTGCATACCATATATGCACAATTAAGTTGAAGAATTTAAAAAACATCCTGATGTGTAAAAGTCATATAGCATGTATGATATCAAATACAGTTTGTTGTACTTTGTGCATGTGTTGCTTTCAGAATATGATAAAAAGAGATGGCAGCTCTGTCCCTGATAAACCATTTTAAAACCCGAAGTAGAGATTTACTGCCCCTCCCTGCCTCATGTGGGAAATGAGAGGAGTTGACTAGATGGCTCCATTCTGGCTCTCATTTTTATAACTGCCTTTACAATGTTTAAGCCAGCAAGCATCTAACCAGACTGAGTACCAGCTCATATTTTGATCTTGCTCAAGAAGCTTGAACTGTTGGGCTGTACCTGCCTCCATTTGCCTGGCAGAACTTTCCCTCATCCTTCAAGTCTCAGCTCAGAAGTTCCCTCCTCTGTGAGACCTTTCCTTCCTGAGTTAGACCTTCCTTACCCTGGGCTACTAAGACTTTTTGTAGAAACCTCTGTTGTAGCGATGACCTTATTGGAATTTTTACTGCATGTTTGTCTCCCCATTTAGACTGTGAGCTCCTTGAGGGCAAGGACCTTATTTTTTCATCTTTGTGTTCCACGTGCCTAGCCCAGTGCTAGGAACACAGTAGGTGCTCAATAAATGTTTGTTGGATGAAGGAGTGAATGAACAGTCAACCTTAATCTATACATATATATGGAAATCATATTCCAAACCATACCTCACTCTGGGAAGATTCCTTTCCCTTTAGCAGGACTCGGGAGCTGTGGTATGACTGCCTAGTACCAGGGTGGGAGGAAAATAAAGGTTCCTCTTGAGAACGCTTAGCAGTCCCAGGGACAGTCCTCAGGCTGGGTGAGAAGTATTCAGAGTAAACTTGGATCTCAGGTCTGAGAGCTGTAGCTTTAGGACAATTAAGACTTCCCAATAGGGGCCGGCCCGGTGGCGCACTGGATAGTGCGCCGCTTGGGAAGCGCGGTGGCGCTCCCGCCCGAGGGTTCGGATCCCATATACAGACCGGCTCCCGCTCACTGGCTGAGCGAGGCGCGGGAGCAACACCGAGGCTTGCGATCCC